ACTTCCTATCCACTTTTCCTCCTAATTTTGGAGAGATAATTTTAGTGAATTGGAAAGAAAATTAATTCATCCACTTCTACATCCTTCATATTTTACTTCGTTATCAAACATTATATTTTATCTATCCCTCCAACTTTCGATCATTCTATTTTTCATCCTACCAAATAAAATATTACAGTTGAAACTCTATTTTTTTCAAACAAACCAACGACCCAGAAGTTTTTCTTGAATTAAAAATCTATATTAGGTTCATGTGCATAAAAAATAACTAAACGTGTTTATGGTCTTTGAAATCAAATTATTTGTGTTGAGTATGAACTAGATCTATTGATTATTAGGGCATATTATTTTTGAATATATATCGAGAACTAGTAAATTATGACCCACAGATTCGTATTATGTTAATGGAGTGGGGGAAGAAGAGGATTAGACAGCATAGGAATATGATAGTGAAGTGCAAGCTTGCTTTATAAAATGGAAGACAGAAGGGAATGAGAATAAATAAAGAAAAGAGAAAGTCATAGTGTTTCTTCTAACATAAAGTTTCTTCCTCCAACGTTTGTATTTACGACTTTCCATGTTTGGAAAGACTGAAGAGATGATATTGATAAGGTTTCTAAGTGGCCACGACAACACCAATCATCTTCAGCCAACCGTTCCCCCTTTGGGGTGGTATTAATGTACAAAAGTAGACAGCTTAAGTGAAATAATGTCTTCCAAGTTACGTACCCATACATCTCTCTCTCTCTCTCTCTCTCTCTCCCCCCANGTGCTTTGTAGGATGAAAAAGTAAGAGGGTGAAAAACATATAGATACATATTTTACCATTGTATTTATGTATGAAATTAATATATACATAATATAGAATTGATAAATTTAATATATATATATATATATATATATATATATATATATATCAAATAAATATATAGACAAATAATATATATTTCAACCCACACAATTAACTTCCTATCCACTTTTCCTCCTAATTTTGGAGAGATAATTTTAGTGAATTGGAAAGAAAATTAATTCATCCACTTCTACATCCTTCATATTTTACTTCGTTATCAAACATTATATTTTATCTATCCCTCCAATTTTCGATCATTCTATTTTTCATCCTACCAAATAAAATATTACAGTTGAAACTCTATTTTTTTCAAACAAACCAACGACCCAGAAGTTTTTCTTGAATTAAAAATCTATATTAGGTTCATGTGCATAAAAAATAACTAAACGTGTTTATGGTCTTTGAAATCAAATTATTTGTGTTGAGTATGAACTAGATCTATTGATTATTAGGGCATATTATTTTTGAATATATATCGAGAACTAGTAAATTATGACCCACAGATTCGTATTATGTTAATGGAGTGGGGGAAGAAGAGGATTAGACAGCATAGGAATATGATAGTGAAGTGCAAGCTTGCTTTATAAAATGGAAGACAGAAGGGAATGAGAATAAATAAAGAAAAGAGAAAGTCATAGTGTTTCTTCTAACATAAAGTTTCTTCCTCCAACGTTTGTATTTACGACTTTCCATGTTTGGAAAGACTGAAGAGATGATATTGATAAGGTTTCTAAGTGGCCACGACAACACCAATCATCTTCAGCCAACCGTTCCCCCTTTGGGGTGGTATTAATGTACAAAAGTAGACAGCTTAAGTGAAATAATGTCTTCCAAGTTACGTACCCATACATCTCTCTCTCTCTCTCTCTCTCTCTCCCCCCACACACAACCACATTCACATGTGCATATGGTCCCCAATCTTATAGGTTTTACACCATTAGTTATGATGGATTTAAAGTATTCTGAACGCATTTAGGAAATATCAAGTGGCATTAGCTGTTGATCTTCTATATTCTAGTTTTTGCCATAATGTATTTTTGTAACTCAACTTCATTGTGAATAAAGAGTATAATTTGACTTGGTGCTGGTGGGCCTTGACATAGTACTGATAAAATTAGCTAATTGTGACTTATGTATTAACAGTTTAAATTGCAGAAACAATTTTTCTATATGAGGGGACAAAATTATGAAACATTTAACCATACTCAAACACATAAGAGAGGGAGAGAGAGAGAATGACTACGAGTTTCCAGTATTGGAAAGCTTTGGTTGAAATGATTGTTCCACTAATTAGGAGTTTTAATGGTGTTATGTATCTATCATATTAGCTAGCACCTCTCCAAAAATAGAGAAGACAACCACCTAATTTTCGGAATAATGCAAATTGACTGGCTTGAAACTCGTAGAGGTGTTAGTTCTTTTTGGGGTTTTTTTTTCCATATATCTAATGGATTTAGCTTCGTTGTTTGTGATGTAACTCCATTGCTGCATTTTGACTATAATGGAAGAAGTTTGTTAGTATGTGATGCAAACTCTATTCTTCTCCCACACCTTCCCATCGTACTTATTTTAATTTTTTTTTTNATTCGTATTATGTCAATGGAGTGGGGGAAGAAGAGGATTAGACAGCATAGGAATATGATAGTGAAGTGCAAGCTTGCTTTATAAAATGGAAGACAGAAGGGAATGAGAATAAATAAAGAAAAGAGAAAGTCATAGTGTTTCTTCTAACATAAAGTTTCTTCCTCCAACGTTTGTATTTACGACTTTCCATGTTTGGAAAGACTGAAGAGATGATATTGATAAGGTTTCTAAGTGGCCACGACAACACCAATCATCTTCAGCCAACCGTTCCCCCTTTGGGGTGGTATTAATGTACAAAAGTAGACAGCTTAAGTGAAATAATGTCTTCCAAGTTACGTACCCATACATCTCTCTCTCTCTCTCTCTCTCTCTCCCCCCACACACAACCACATTCACATGTGCATATGGTCCCCAATCTTATAGGTTTTACACCATTAGTTATGATGGATTTAAAGTATTCTGAACGCATTTAGGAAATATCAAGTGGCATTAGCTGTTGATCTTCTATATTCTAGTTTTTGCCATAATGTATTTTTGTAACTCAACTTCATTGTGAATAAAGAGTATAATTTGACTTGGTGCTGGTGGGCCTTGACATAGTACTGATAAAATTAGCTAATTGTGACTTATGTATTAACAGTTTAAATTGCAGAAACAATTTTTCTATATGAGGGGACAAAATTATGAAACATTTAACCATACTCAAACACATAAGAGAGGGAGAGAGAGAGAATGACTACGAGTTTCCAGTATTGGAAAGCTTTGGTTGAAATGATTGTTCCACTAATTAGGAGTTTTAATGGTGTTATGTATCTATCATATTAGCTAGCACCTCTCCAAAAATAGAGAAGACAACCACCTAATTTTCGGAATAATGCAAATTGACTGGCTTGAAACTCGTAGAGGTGTTAGTTCTTTTTGGGGTTTTTTTTTCCATATATCTAATGGATTTAGCTTCGTTGTTTGTGATGTAACTCCATTGCTGCATTTTGACTATAATGGAAGAAGTTTGTTAGTATGTGATGCAAACTCTATTCTTCTCCCACACCTTCCCATCGTACTTATTTTAATTTTTTTTTTTGGTTTATTGAGAGAGATTATGCTTATTATTGTCAAAAACATGCTATCTTCTCTCTCTTCTCATCTTATTTTCAAAACTTTCATAGGCAAGAGGTATAAACTCCACGTGTTGTAGAAATGTATTGAGCTCTTCTAAGTTCAGGCAAGCGCTCTTTTGTTTGGACCAACCATGTGAGAATTTTGTACACGAAATTCATTTTCTAGCATCTAAAGTGACTATAACGTTAAGGTTTATTACAATGTTTTGGGATAGAACGTGGACTATACTGTAGGCATTAGACAGGATTCGGTTACACCTAACATCAGGATGGGCAAGTTTAGAATACCCCATAAAAAACGATGTATTGACACTTAAACTGTGAAGTACAATTATAAGTTCAATACATACGAGTGTTCTTTTACGAAATAACTTGAATTTCAAATCATTCACTTACTTTAACTACTCACGCTATAAATGAGGGAGCTTCAACTCCGTTCTTGTGGGCTTTGAGGAGTGAAAGATATTGTTGAAATTCTACAAAAAATCTCGAGTCAAAATGCAAATCAGTTTCATACGACCAAGTGGAGTGACACAAGATCTGCCTCTTAGCTTATGTCGGGATATTGATTCCTCCACTCGGGATATTGATTCCTCCACACACTCCGAACAAAATACGTAGTATCCAAAAGAGGATGAAGTGAGAACCTATACCAAGAGAGAAAAGAAAGAGCATGACATAACACTTTGCTTTTGGCGAAACTTGACCCCCCATGACCTCCTTTTGGGGTTATCGCAAGTGATCACAGCACTATAGCTGAAAGAGTTAACTCCCTGCTAAATCACATGCTGTACGTCCCATCATGCATATCATTTTCAAGTTCATAAAAGATTAAAAGCTATCTTATCAATATAAATCGTATCTATATAGTGTTTTAGAATTCCAATTTAGTACATTAGAAAATTCAAGTGTATCAATCAAATGTCATACACGAGACTCATGGGATTAAAGGAAATTAATTGTACTTAAAATATCAGGGGAGGGAACATTTATCCAGGATGAGACTCGACCCCAGGTGACGCCCCCAGGACAGAACCTTTCAACCTCTAGGCCAACACCTTCTACCAAGGCTCTACCAGGATTCTAACGTCGCACAGTTTTCTTTATATGAAAGTAGAAGGAACCAACAAGCCACACAACTAGTAATTTCCATAGGAATCACGTTTTCTGAGTATATTTCATTCAGCAATCGAGTGAATCCTGGTAGTAAGCATGTCAATGGGAAAGGATTTCCATGCTAAACACTTGATGCACCAATATAGAAAATTGGAGCTGTAACCAGGAACCCTACGTAGAAAAAACTTGCGTACTCATCTTTTTCTCGTGTAGATGTTACCAAATCTGCTTGTCCAACCTCTTCTTTCTTTTACTTTTCTTCCTTTTCCTTCTCTTCTTTCCTTTCTCTTTTTCTTTTCTTGATCGATAAGGTGAAAATTCTTCTAGTCTAATCATTGTTTGTTGATAGTCAAGACTATCATTGCAAAAAGGAAGATGAATGTCACATGCGAAAAGTAGCATAGAAGAGACCTACAAAGAGAAAAGCAAACTGATCAGATGCAGCAACAAACTAGAAAAATTAGCATGTCCTCAATCATCATATCAACAACCATTAAATCACATCACAAAAAGGCAGTGCTATCCAACTATTTTGGGGGGGTTGAAGAAAAGGAACTATAGAATACAAGGAAAAAGAAAAACAAGCAGACAATCACTTTTCTAATTATACAAGATCTATACCACCATCTATTAAAAAAACAGGAGAGATACCCTTCTGGTTATTCAAATGGGAAGAAAACAAAATTTCAGCTGTAAACTTAATCAAACCAAACATTAATAATATAATGCCTGTCAAGCAAGCAAAATTTGTATCATACCTTTGAGAAACGTGATATACTATACGCAATTATGAAAGGCGAAACAAAATAAAAAGAGGATCCCACCTGCTTCCCTGTGTATTAATTTATTTCTCTAATTTCACTATCCTTACCTAATATGAAATCTGGGCTAGGTAAAAGAAACTCATTACAAATCAAGCAAGTTACAAAAGATTACTTCAGTTGCCAGCAGGTTTACAGGAAAGAAAATGCCACAATTAGATATCATACTGACCAGTGACACTTGGAGTAGGTCTCTCTTTCCATGGCAGCAGCATAAACAACCTCCTGTCGGTAGCCAAAAAAAGAACAGAAATGTAATCTGATCTACGAGAATCATCACAGCAGAGTGATTTATCAATCTTTTGGGTGTACATACTCCATGCAGTGTGTAATCCCTGTGCTCTATTAAAACTCCAAAGTCGCCAACAAATAAAGAGAAACTATTTAAAGGACTCCAATTGGCAATGACAATAATACCTAAGGATGATGCTCAAATACAAAGTGCACCCACATCAGGCAGCCCTCCATCAGATCCTTGAGGTTTCACAGCAACCGGTCCACCTTTCTTCCCTTGCTTTTTATCTTTTCGAACCTTGCCATTGTCAAATGTTTGGTTGCTGATACACCACCATCACCATTTTAGAGAAAGAAAATAAACAATATTTTTTGTGACTAACTTAAAAGTAGAAGCAAACCAAAAGTTTGTTTATAAAGAGAGAGAGAGAGAATGGTCTTCTGGTCAAGTCAAACGTGTTACCTCCATAAAGTCAACTAAAGAAGGATACATAGTAACAATGTGATCTGAACTAAAACTAGATAGCCCATGCCATTCTATGATATGACTACGCATTCCATGTAAATCACCATTTTACATTTGTTTCTTATGGCACTTACAAGCAAAAGAGAATAGGCATGATATTATGTCTAGGAATGACATTCCATTGTCTATAGATAGTAGAACAGAATTTGTCTATTTCACCAGTATTCAACAAATTTCTCTAAATAACTGACTTGAGTAAGATTTTGCCTATAACACACATTTTGAACTAAACATTCTTTTTATGGTTGAAAAAAAAAGGCTTAAATTGACACACAAAGCGACAATCTTCATGAGGCATACACTGCAAATCTACTAGCAGATCTTCCCGCAGCTGATCCACAACAAGACTTGTATTTCTTCTTTGAGCCACATGGACAAACCTTGTTTCTGGGGATTTTCTGTTTTAGTAGAAAACACAACAAAACCAAACATTAATCTAACACCAAAGTAAAATAATGGAGGAAAAAAGGGCTTCTGACTTGCATACATATATTCACACACGTATATACCTTTTCATCTTGTAGCGAGCTGTTATTATCATGAGCTATTTCTAGATTATTGCAAGATGGGTCATGTATGCATTTTTTGTCTTCAAGCTCTTCTGCATGCCGCTGAGAGTTCTCATTTTGACCACCACCTGGACAAACAAGAATAATAAGCAACATGAGAGAAGTAGAAAACTTTGCCTACAAGAGCAATAACAAGAATTCATACTTGACAAGAAATAAGAACAAAAGAAGCAATAACACGTGCATTCAAAGGAATCCAGAATTCTGAAACAATGCAGCACACCAATCTTCCTGTTAAGAACCTATAATTGCGAGAAATGAGAAAATAGATTTCATCAATCTTCCTGTTGACAATTTTTAATTGAAAGAAATTGGAGGATTGACTTCAACTTCGCAGTGGGAGTAATATGTATTATATTATATTGTCACGTACACGTACTGCAGATGTGTTCTTATATCAAGGGAAAGAAGAGATTGCCCAGCACAACTCAGCCTCATCCCAAACTAACTGAACTGGTTCATAAGAGAGAATTCGAGAGAGAAAATAAGTAATAGAACTGTACCAATGAAAATTGGCATACATCCCCAAAAAGTGAGACAAAGAAGAATTCACAATTCTTCAAGGGGCCAAAAAAAAAGNGGTAAAAGAAACTCATTACAAATCAAGCAAGTTACAAAAGATTACTTCAGTTGCCAGCAGGTTTACAGGAAAGAAAATGCCACAATTAGATATCATACTGACCAGTGACACTTGGAGTAGGTCTCTCTTTCCATGGCAGCAGCATAAACAACCTCCTGTCGGTAGCCAAAAAAAGAACAGAAATGTAATCTGATCTACGAGAATCATCACAGCAGAGTGATTTATCAATCTTTTGGGTGTACATACTCCATGCAGTGTGTAATCCCTGTGCTCTATTAAAACTCCAAAGTCGCCAACAAATAAAGAGAAACTATTTAAAGGACTCCAATTGGCAATGACAATAATACCTAAGGATGATGCTCAAATACAAAGTGCACCCACATCAGGCAGCCCTCCATCAGATCCTTGAGGTTTCACAGCAACCGGTCCACCTTTCTTCCCTTGCTTTTTATCTTTTCGAACCTTGCCATTGTCAAATGTTTGGTTGCTGATACACCACCATCACCATTTTAGAGAAAGAAAATAAACAATATTTTTTGTGACTAACTTAAAAGTAGAAGCAAACCAAAAGTTTGTTTATAAAGAGAGAGAGAGAGAATGGTCTTCTGGTCAAGTCAAACGTGTTACCTCCATAAAGTCAACTAAAGAAGGATACATAGTAACAATGTGATCTGAACTAAAACTAGATAGCCCATGCCATTCTATGATATGACTACGCATTCCATGTAAATCACCATTTTACATTTGTTTCTTATGGCACTTACAAGCAAAAGAGAATAGGCATGATATTATGTCTAGGAATGACATTCCATTGTCTATAGATAGTAGAACAGAATTTGTCTATTTCACCAGTATTCAACAAATTTCTCTAAATAACTGACTTGAGTAAGATTTTGCCTATAACACACATTTTGAACTAAACATTCTTTTTATGGTTGAAAAAAAAAGGCTTAAATTGACACACAAAGCGACAATCTTCATGAGGCATACACTGCAAATCTACTAGCAGATCTTCCCGCAGCTGATCCACAACAAGACTTGTATTTCTTCTTTGAGCCACATGGACAAACCTTGTTTCTGGGGATTTTCTGTTTTAGTAGAAAACACAACAAAACCAAACATTAATCTAACACCAAAGTAAAATAATGGAGGAAAAAAGGGCTTCTGACTTGCATACATATATTCACACACGTATATACCTTTTCATCTTGTAGCGAGCTGTTATTATCATGAGCTATTTCTAGATTATTGCAAGATGGGTCATGTATGCATTTTTTGTCTTCAAGCTCTTCTGCATGCCGCTGAGAGTTCTCATTTTGACCACCACCTGGACAAACAAGAATAATAAGCAACATGAGAGAAGTAGAAAACTTTGCCTACAAGAGCAATAACAAGAATTCATACTTGACAAGAAATAAGAACAAAAGAAGCAATAACACGTGCATTCAAAGGAATCCAGAATTCTGAAACAATGCAGCACACCAATCTTCCTGTTAAGAACCTATAATTGCGAGAAATGAGAAAATAGATTTCATCAATCTTCCTGTTGACAATTTTTAATTGAAAGAAATTGGAGGATTGACTTCAACTTCGCAGTGGGAGTAATATGTATTATATTATATTGTCACGTACACGTACTGCAGATGTGTTCTTATATCAAGGGAAAGAAGAGATTGCCCAGCACAACTCAGCCTCATCCCAAACTAACTGAACTGGTTCATAAGAGAGAATTCGAGAGAGAAAATAAGTAATAGAACTGTACCAATGAAAATTGGCATACATCCCCAAAAAGTGAGACAAAGAAGAATTCACAATTCTTCAAGGGGCCAAAAAAAAAGCTTGTGGTATTCAAGATAATAGCTAACTCGTCCATCAGCTAAGCTAAAAGTTCAAAGGGTCCAACTCTACAGCAGATCGAACACAATGACATTACAAAGGATAACAATCTATCTATTAAGCCACCAGTCCAACATCCAAAAGAGCAAGGGCTGCATGCATACTCCAAGATAGACGATTGACGACCGTTTGTCTTAGTTTTATACGATATCAAATACCTTTTTGTTTTCTACTTTTTTTTTTGTTTGGTTTTTGTACAAGCAGACCACAATAGATTTCTAAGGTAGAAGTCCACATTTCTGTGTTAATAGTTCATACCTAAGTTCAGAGACTAAAAGCTATTGCGATTTGCGAGAACTGAAAAAGGTGTTGAATTTAGGAAAAAAAATCAGGAATTGCCGAAGGGATCCTACAACTAAAAGAATTGAAAGAACAAAAAAAACAACTGAATGATATAAAGCATAACTGACAGAGAGCAAAAATTTTAAAGGTAATTGTCGAAGGAGAAAGCACCCCAATCAGCTAAGAATATTTTTGAGCTTGCTGATATGGGCTGTCATACGCCATTGCATGCGTCTAGCAGTACCAATTGACAGTATGAAAAGACAGAGAACTCCATGGATCTTTACTTCTTTTCTAGCCCACTTGAAGCCATAAAATAAGCATCCTCGCACACAACAGCTACACTCAACAAATGACCTAAGTCAAATCCTCTAAACAAGCCATGAAAGCCTTCCTCGCTAGTGAACATCATATTATGACTTCATACTATTCCTCACATGTCTGACATTAATGTCGCCTAGCTGCCTATAAGAAGAGAATATGAAAAAGAATTAGACCTTGCATTAGTTCAGGAATCCTGACAAGAATTTTATCTCGCTAGCAATTGGTCTACGAATACAATCTTTACATAGGATGCATATAATGTGCTCATACTACAGGTTAGGAGCTTCCTAAAATAGCTAGGCTAGTCCCTTAATTTAGTATAGTAGCGTGGAGTACATTATAAGAGTATGAAATATACTCCCTCCGTTCCTAAATATCTGTCGTTTTACACAATTTTTTTTGTTCCATAATATTTGTCATTTAATGAAACCAAAGCATAATTAATATTTTTTCTTCCAAATTTACCCTTAACTTTTCAATACATTAGATTAGGTGGAGACTAAGTGCCTTTCATATTCCTTTCCTTCCTAATACGTATTGAATAAGAGTATTTTAGTCTTGTGCAATTATGTTTTACTCATATTAGAGCTATTTAATAGCTTTCTTAATCCCTATACAAAAACCTTAAACAACAGATATTTAGGAACGGAGGGAGTAGTAAATAACAACATTTTTAAGTAAAGTGTTCCGGTCTACGGCAATCCCTTGATCGATTTCTTTGTTAAATATCTTCCGTGAACTCCTTCTAATGACCTATGCATTTTGTTATCGTTTCCAGTTGGACGAGCCATTCATCCACTCTTCCCATTTTTCTAGGGTATTCACTCTATACTTTTTTAGAGGCTTGGAGCAGATGAAGCCTTCGTTCTTTTATTTCTTCTCAGTCTGTTTGGTTCCCAATCTTAAGCTTGTTTTGAGGGAAATTCAAATAAAAAAAAAAAAATAGAAAAACATAAAAGTTTTTCACTCTTATTCCTTACCTATCTAACTAATGAGACCTGGGTGGATATTTATTGACATTAATGTTGTTTCCCACCCATGAGTTTGTTCAACGAGAAGAATAGCTGATGAAGCATAATCCCCGAGGCCTCCTCCATCCCCAGTAAGGAGGCATGGACTTGCAGGTTGGATCCCATATCATCCAACGAACCAGTTTGCCTCACCCCATTCAATTCAATAAAGGACTTCTCCATTCTTGCGATTCCCAACTCTCTGGGGCCATTCTGTAACCACAAGCAGCCCAATCAACTTAAAGATGGCCTCCTATGAGATCACATAAGACCACGTTGATTACGAGGCAGGGGATGCGAACATAGCGGCCTTAAAATACCTCCTGAGCAATCTTAAAGGCGAAGTTGGTTCGGATGGACTTCACCGTTCTTTCCCAACTAAAATAGAAAAGGATATATCACATCGAGCTGTTGATTCATTTTCCGCACCCAATGAGATGGGGAATTTGTAACCCACATCCATTAGTGCAGTCCTCAGATTTTCCTCACTTAATTTGCCAACAAATTAAATGCCACAAAAACTTTTTCAGGTAAGAATAATAATCTGGACTGGAGCCCTTAAGAAGGAAAAAAAAAATCCACAGGCCAAGGTAAATGCTGATAAGTATCTGAGACATGGATTCACAGAATGTATAGCTGACCCTTAACTCTATTTATGTCTGGCAGAGCATATAGACGAGTAAGGATACCTTTGACAAGGGGAAGCAAGGACTTTGAAATGGATGAAAGATTAGATGATAGGAAAATCTGAAGGAAAGGGAGCTTTAATAGAAACAATTAAAAATAATGCTCCAGACCAAGGTGAACGGTATAAGAGGAAAATGTCAACGTAAACAGCAACCAGATAAACTGTCTAGAATGTGAAAACGTACTGAGCAGCTATTACCATGAGAAGTATCTGCTGAAGAAGGAATACTATCACTTTCAGATAAATATTCTTCTGTTCCTTGTTCTGCTATGAGGAACTCAATTGCAGCATCAACATCACCACCCACTTGAAGTAAAACCTGGAACGAATCCATATGAAAACAAAAACTTCTTCAGAAGCTCCATGTGGCAAAAGACCACAGCCTCGAAGAGGATCAGCAGAGTTATAACACGTGCAACTTTGGAGACTCTAAAGAGAAGGAAAGACAACAAACTACCGCTTCTTTAGCAGGTATCACCTGTTCAACTTTTTCAGCATTTTCACATCCACTTCCACCCATGACCATTTTGATAGATCCTGCCTGGATGATATTCTTCCCAGCTCCCCCTTTAGAAGTGGTGACAGCATCTTTTGCTTGATTAGATTTTGCTGAAAGATCAGCATCAGCCTTTACATAACTAGAAGCTATTAGGCTCTACTGCCAATTAGATGTCAAAAATTACAAGTACCAAAATGGCTGTAACAAGGAATCTCAAATCTAAAACTGAATATAGCAATAATAATGGCACAAACCTTGATTACAACTGACCTAGCTGGTCCACTACAAGTGTCTTCCTTCAACCGCACACTATTGTAATGCTCCCCATCATGATAAGATCTGCAGAACAACAAAGCAAGTCATAGAATAAACCAAATGAATGAGTCAACCGACATCTAATATACTGAGAACACTATTTATAAAATAAATGAATGAATGTCTACTGACATCTATATGTACATCTATGTGTTACAAATTATCTATGTGTGTGTGTGTGTGTGTGTGTGCCTGCCTACAAGTTAAATATATACTATTTGACAGCTAACAGCTTAAGCTTATGTATGGTATAACAGTTTTAGTTGTGTGAAGACTTGGCTTCATAAGTCTCTTTCCATGCGTTTGCAGCACATTTTGCCAATTAGGTTGTACTTCATTTGTCTCTATGTTCACTCCCCTACCTGTAAGACAGGGTTTCACATGAGGGGTGTTGAAAGCTTGATCTTTCAGTATTTGGCCCATTCCCTAAAAGTTTAAGCTGTTGGCCCATTAGTTGTCCAGCACCAACATCAATTCAACTTGAAGCTTAACCCAAGCAGGATAACTCTAGACCATAAAGCTTGAGGTGTTACCAAAGAAGTCTAAACCATCTAAGATGAAGTTTATTGCAGCCAAATGTTGCAGACGATGATTGGATACCCTGATTTGGCAGCGCCAGTGATGTGTGTCTTGGAGAAGCAAGCATTGGTGCATGCCCACTTGTATTAGCAGGTGAATATATCTAAACTCAAGCACAGACCCATCCTTCCTGCACCAGGTCTGCACTCTGCAGTGAAGTAACCAAAATACTTCGAGGCAGACCATACGATGCATATTTGTTACCTTATTTCTGTTGCTATCACATAATAATCAATTGATGAATAAGTAAGTTGCTTCAAAATGTCAATCCATTGTTATCCTACAAATATATGCACGTGTATGTAGCAGTCTCTGACATTAATATGAATTAGCAAAGCCACATCAATCCCCTAAAAATTTCAGGGTCGATACTCCACTAATGCCAAGTTTGAACCTTAACATGGATGACCACATATCAGATCACAAAATGAAAAAGTAAAAGATTTCTGTCAGCGCCCTTGTCAATCATTAGTCTATTGTCAGAAATAAGTTAAAGCATCTCAGCTAGCTTTTTATATTTGTGTCCTTAAATAAGAGAAACGTAAATGTCTGCTCTTGTCCAAAGAGATATTAGTGACCAACACAGCAAACCAAGACAGTTATAAACCATACTTGGGCTTCCAAACCTGTCCTTAATGGTCCGTTGTTCAAAATGGTTAGTAAAATGTTGCCAATGGAGGCACAACCAGACAATCAATTTCTCTTTTCTCTTTATTTATTTATTTCTTTCTCTTTCTTTTATTTTCGGGCTGATTAGCCAGCATATAATTACTGCCAGGTGACCTGGCCCTGCCTTAGCTTTTGCTACTTTAAAGATCATTACATCCCGTTATGGAGAATGGATGGGTGCAGGACACAGAGTACTAGAGGATTAAAGACTGATTTTCAATGGCAGTATTTTATGTCATACATATCCTCCACATGGATTCTGAAGGCATTGGTGAGTTTTCAAATCCTAGTAGCGTAGCTTGAGTGCTTTGGTATCCTACGAGGTATTTTGCTTTTCTTGCGTTCTTGCATTCCGCTAGAGAACTTGGAAGCAACTCACTGCTTGGTAAGCTGTAGTATATTCCAGTAATTACAGTTTTTTTTCACTCCAATACAACAATTGGCTGAGAAAGAACAATATGATCCTTTCCTTTAAAAATTAACCTAATCTCCCACTGTTTAAGTGAGCAAATTTAATAGGATAGTATACCATGTCTATAGATGAGCTCTTCTCTTGCATGTTTTAATAACCTTTTCTCATTGAACAAAAGAAAGAAAAGGTGTCCTTGTTCCTCGCAATTACACAAAGATAAAAGAGATTCCCAATCCTTAAATGCTTCATAAACACAACAATTAAACAGCTTAGACACCATCTAAATGTCAGTTAATCTTTTTACTTGCATTTGTTATACAGGACCCCAGCTCCAAGAAAATTGATTTTAATATAACTGAAAACATCAATGAATATGGTAACCACTAGCACCACTTGGAATTTGCTAGTGTAGTTACAAATGGGTCATCCATTTCATCCTGATATGCAAGCTATGATCCGAAATTCTTCAACCCATGTGAATACTACAACAACTTGGAAGTTTAAAAAACTTACAGATGGATCATCTGCGCTTCAAGGTTACCAAAATTCTGTATGTACCAGCGAGGAGATGTATGCTGTTATGGAAAATAAGGCAAAGGACCAACCAACATATTATTTATAAAGCATTAAGATACAGAAGACACCTTTATATCACAGAAATTTGCCTCACTTTTCGTATAGCCCTCAATATCCTAGAAGTCTAAAAAAAGATGCAAACCAAAAATAAGAGGAAAAGGACTCACTCGGTGTATGCATATATTACAACGAGTAACAAGAGAAGCAGCTTGCAACTCCATATGTCCAGCCCATGTACCATCTTTTTCCATGGATCGACAGTATTCATCAAATGGTACCTCATCTTCGATAAAAGGCTCAAACATTTCACGATTCTGCTGTTCAATATAAATTCAGATCAGGTTTAGTTAACAAGGTGGCTTTTGAAATAAGAAAGTATAGACACAACGAAAAAGCAGAAATAGGAAAATTTGCAATGGGAACTACTTTCCCAACCATACAGGTTTTTTTTTTTTGCAAAGCACCAATGAATAGAAAATGCAACCCTAAAAAAGGAAATACACCCAAGCCTCAATTAAAAAGGGTCAATAACCACTGTTAGCAATCCCGAGCCTCAATGGGAGTAAAATATTAGCCCGGTTTCCATGCATTGCGCTCAAGGTGATAAATTACAAAGTAGAGCAGCATAACATTCATTAATCCCAGGGACAAGAGGACAATGACAATAAAGGGGGGAAAAAGCCATTGCAAGAGACAAATCGCAGGGTGCCTCTAGACAACCACAATTGCCGATTGCTGGTAACAATGCGTCATAACCATTCAAGGGCAGAACTACACGGGATTGGCACCATTAAAATTTTGAGAACCATCTTTCATATATAGCTGTGACTACCCAACATGATAACCTTCACAAAATGATGAAATTATGAAAAATAAATAGAATAAAATCCACATAACATCTTTTGATAGATAGAAATATCACCTGACACCAATGAAGAACATCTCACGTAGACAATTTTATACGAAACAAAAGTCAATCCTCACAAACAAAACAAGAAAACCTATACTAAATAGAACCGGAGCTCCAAATACCCAAAAGAACAACATACAACAAAACCCCAACGCTCACCAAACAATCAACAAAAGACACCCAACTCCTTTCCCAGAGAAACTGACAAAATACAAGTCATGAAATTTCACTTCAAGTTCAAGATTGATGTCTCCACACATTCAAAGTGCCTCCGGTCACGCTCCAACGAAATACTTTGCCACAAACGAAGGGGGATTGACACCCAACCCTCTTGAGCCTTCTCTCCTATGACAACCTTTCCTCCAGCGACACGATAAATCCAAACTCACCTAAACATTGCCCAATGCACACAAAATAAAGAGAAAAGCACAACCCAAACTTCCCAACAAGCAAAAAACAACCATATAACTCATCAAAGAAAAAGAATGCACAAATTATCTCTTAATAAAATTTATAAAAGCGCTAAGATAAAATGTAAGTCTCAACCCCCATCATATTATCTAGGGAGAATTACACCAAAACCCTTGAAGTTTGTCACTTAAAAACTTAGGCCCCTTGACATTTGAAATATTACACACAGAACCCCTAAGATTTGTATACGCATAACAATTAAACTCCTGCCGTCAATGTCCGTTAGAAGCGTAACACTTAGACCCCTACTATCAATGTCCGTTAGTAAATTACACTTAAACTCCCTTAGGGGGTATGTGTGTAATATTTCAAATATCATAGGATCTAACTGATTAAATAACAAA